ATGACAATCTCCGTTTCATAGAATCTTCCAAATACTTTTTAATAAAACTCCTGCTCCGAAAGATTTGCTAGGGTCATAATTGCCATAAGTATATGCAAGCACAATACCTTCCGAATGATTATCATCGTAATAAATTTGAGAACTGCGCAAAATATTGTTATTTGCGCTGTATCCCCACATCGAGTCGCATTGCCCAAGTAGGAGCACAAATGCGTCCCACGTCAAGGCCACAATGTTGCTAAATCGTTGAAGAGGACGTAGACTTGTGCGTGGCGCGTACGAAAATACATGAGTTGTAGATCGCGTAGGAAGAAGGCCGTAAGTGGTACAAAAAGGCGAAGTTACAGTAAAGCAGTACTGCCTGCGTGTGCGTCATCTTTGAAAGTCAGCTTTACTGCAGATCAATCTTGAATGTACAACTAGCCTAACTGTTCAGTAATGCTTTAGACTGTTGAGAATGTGACTGACGGTTCGATGAATATCGAATTCTGCGACATGCACATGGGTCACCTCCTGAGTGCTGCATTGTGGCCGTTATACCAATAATGATAAAAGAGAAATATCTCAGTGTTAAGAAGAAAGTTTTGTTCCAAGTGTCACAAAAGCGATACGCATGAAACATTCATTGGCATGTGAGCGTCTCTACTGGATAATTGCGACCGATGTCCGAAACACTGTGGCAACGATGGGGATTGAACGAGGAAAGTATTTTGTCGACGGTTTAGATCGATTGCGATACGACTTGCTAAGAAATATACAGAGGACGAATTTAGATTTTTTACGTCGCCTACCAGTCTGGACGGCACGTGCTTCTGCTTGGTCATAAGGCTTCGCGAGCTTCAAGCAAGTAGAGACGAGGAAGCGGTTAGTAATTTCGAACAATAATTTTCCATTAACTACACTTTGGAAAGGAACCATGAGCACCACACGCGAGGTTCTCATGTATCGAAAATACCTACATGTTCAATGTTGTTGTTGTTCAAGCGCTTTCACTGTTCGCTGAAATATTCTTATCTAAACAAGGCTTCGAACTCTTCGTCTTGATGCCTTGGTGCAGGCTCGGATTGACATGGCCATAGATAGCTACGGACACAGTTGGGAGCCACGAGATAACGGTAATTATAAAGGAATCTCATCACGAAATCTTCCATTTCAGCCATTTTTTGGGAAAAACCTCATGGAAGAAAGGTTTCGTCAGAAGGAAAACTTGACAAGGCATAAGAGGGCAGCTCAATGTACTTGGGCCGTCACGTCAAAAGGGGAAGAACGTACTTCATCAAGACCACTCCATGTTCGTGTAGAACCGGAATTGGGCAGCACTATTTACTATGCAATGTATGCGCTTTCGGAGTAAGTTGTTCTTGCACGAGCAAACATCAAGGTTGATACTTCCTGTGAGCATATTCATGTCCTTCAAATGATGCATGACGGTGAGTTTGATATTCTATTGTTCGATTCATAGCTCATTGTAAACATTGTAGAGCGCGACAATGTTGTGGCTTCCTTATGCTTTACTGATGAGGACCACTGTGTCGAGAACGCATCAGCTCTGGATCAATCTGATTCTGACTTGAATAACAATAAGTTGGAACCAGATGCCATCAAAGCGAAGAGTAACAAAGAAGACTGTATGAACATCACAATTCGAAAAGAGAGGGTTACTTGGCAAGTACCAATTAGATTTCCCTGTCGAGAGGAGGTGTTGTTTAGGGACGGTAGACGTAAAGTAGGCAAACTTGCACGTTAACGGGCTTCTCAAACCCGTTTGTAACGTGCAGGTGCAAGTTTTCCCGATTACATTGTATATTGCGTCGATTCCCAAGTGAGCTGCACGTCCCAGGCCTCGTAACGCGCAGCTGTGAAACGCGGAAGGCAGGCTCGCCGACAGATAACGGGACGCGCAGGGGAAATAGTATGTGTTTGGAGAGACGCAGGTGACGAAAGTAACGCGCAGGCAAAAGTCCTCCGGAGGACTTTTTGGGGTTGGCGAACTTCAAACTTGAATGATGGGTAAAAGTCGATTGAATAGTGTGGACGAGGGGAAGCAATTGAGGGAGAGACCATAGCTTTGGAGAGGTTGGAGGCCACGAGAGTGTCTGACTTGACTTGCCAAAGCGCAACTGACAGGGATAGGGGGAACTGGGCAGCTACGCAGTGGCCGAGCGGCGTCGCTTGCCTTTGTCACTTGCGCGGATTCATTTTCATTTTCATTCATTTCTCCGCCACAACGGCCCATTTTGATGATTTTTCCTCATGTTTTTTTAACACTTATCGTGATTTTCTGTTGAATGCTTTCATTTCTTTAACATTTTCCCAGTTTGAAAAGAAATCTTTGCAATGAAAAAGTGTTCGATTTTGGGAGTGAGAATCTCACGGAAGCCAATGAAGAGCATCTAAAGCGGCAATTTTGTGGACAGTTTCAGGAAGTTTCCAAGTTGTGTATCATCGTCCTTGTGAGTGTAAGATTTTGTTTCTCTGTTCTTTTCATTCGACACTTATTTTCTATTTTTAGGGGAAATGTTGCTGTTGACTATTTGTTTAAAACGGATATCACTCAGCTTCTGAGTAAAAAGGTATGTAGTCATCAGTTGTTTTTATCGTTCTTCAGTTTGTTAGTTTAGCTTTGTTATTCACGCCCGCTTATCGAATAGGTTTTCCAGTCAGCTATATTTATATTCAAGACTGAGTTGGTATTTTCAATCTGACCCTCGTCTTCACTTAAGTTCAGAATGTCACTTTGTTTTACTTCTTTATTCATTCTTTCATCTTCTTTCATTTATTTCCATTATTCATTTCAGCGCTTGTCTACTCAGGATGAAAAAAATCTTTTCCAGGGGTCATTTATGAAACATGCGCACTATCATGATTTCTTGGATGGCGAAACTGGAGGAGGTGCTGGTTGTGGAGAATGATCAGGGCGAATTTGGTTTCTGTTTATAATTTTGATTTTTTGCTGCTTTCAACTCTGCTTGCTTTCTGATAGGTTGTGCGTGAAATTCTCAAAGATACTGTTTCTATTACGCTCTTCAAGAACATGCGCAAATGTCTAGTGTACCTCGACGTGACGACATTCCCCCCCCCCCCAGCTCCCCCTGTTACCTCAGCCGTATAGTATCATCTTCACGTCTGTGCATTGCTAATTGGTCGCTCAATCGCAACAGAATCTGCAGATTACGTTCTACTGCTGATGTGCCAATGGGAATACACAGGTACTGCTCGCGTTAATATTTTCATATGGTTTCTAACGGGGGTGTGGGTGGCGCTTCGCAATGCGACATCGCGCGGCGGGCTAGTGCTCTCGCAGCGAAAACAGTTACGGTATGAAGAGCGCGCGATTGGAGCAGCTTTTTTCGCATGCGTGAATTTGTAAGTTTCTGATTTATTGCTTGCCCACGCTCACACTCATTGTATTGAGACTCAATTCTCTCTCATCAATGGAAATGTTTTGTGAATTACACGATTCCGAGCGATGCCGTTAAAGTGGTATTCTAGAATTCTAGAGTCCATTGTTGGTAAGCTTCAAAGAACCAGAGCAAATAACGCGCTCCATTCACGCGCCCCTCGTACCGTAGCTGTTTTCGCTGTGGGAGCGCTGGCCTGCCGCGCGATGTCGCATTGCGGAACGCGAAAATGTCGCTTTCTGTCCTTACCCACACCCTTCTAATGGCGTGAAGAAGCCAACGAGTACGCGCTTGAAAGAATTTTCGACCTGTTAGCAAGTTCGGAATTTGGTCCACTCCACTATAGCTATTCACAGGTTGGATCACTTGGTCCCTAGTTGTCCCAACCTGACTCGTGTTTTATTTACACTTCATGCTGCCTTTGTGGTCGCAGTCATCGTTGTCAATCGACGATTGAGCATTAATTGGTGAGTTCATGTTGTCATTTGGTGAGGCGAAACCGAGACATCGATAACGGAACGGTAATAACTTTCACAATGCACTAAAAGAAAGCGAAAATTCAAACGGGCATCAAAAGGGTAAGGATAGCACGTGTATTGGCCATTTGAGAGCGAATGAAAGAACCTGTCAATAACGTAACGAATAAAACCATATTTTCAATTACACTTATGGCGAGAAGGATGTATGTCAGAGCAAAAGTCTCACTACGAGGGGGTCAGTGAAGTTGGAGAAAAGCGACCGCGCGGCTGACCGCGAGGCGGAGCTGATAGCCCTTTGCGAACTAGAATGGTTGTTCCGGCGCTGCCTCCTGTTGCGCTCAAGTACAGTCGATATCTCGAACTCTGATTGGGCGTGTCACCGGAAATGACGTGGCAGCCACCGCACTTGATAGATGTCGTGTGGATAAAATACTCCGCCAGATATCAGCAAAGCGTGTTGGAAGCAGCTTATCCGCGCAATTTCTATCAAGTGCGGTGGCTGCCTCGTCAATCAGATTCCGAGATTTCGATTGTACCTCTTCAATATTTGGACCGTTCCTGAAGGTCCTTGGAATTTACAATCAAAGTAAAAACCACTTCAATTCATCAATCACAAATGCACATTCCACCATACAACGATTGTAATTTGAACCCAATGACCCTCCTCGTCACCTACACTGCCATCCCACTGTACCGGGCGCGCACGAGCGCATACTTAGCACCGCCCTTTGGAGTTCAGCAATCTACTCAATGCTAAACTACGCATACCTGCAGGGCAGCGCCTAAAGTCGCTCCACAATGTAGTGGCGGACGTCGGTCACGCTTGCCGTCCGGATGCGCCATGGTGGCCTTCCTTCGTCCGAGTTGTCGCATGGAGCTGGGGTTCAGGCACAAGCTTATATTGTACCGCGCATGCAATTATAATCTTTGACGCTCGTTGAGGCCCCACTCTCAGTTCTGACGAGAGAATGGGGAAACGCGATTTCAGACGACCGATGGTCATCTCCATCTCCGCATACGGCAATGAATGTGGTTATATCGCTTTTTCCTCACGTCCCCTCGGACGGCAGTGGGTCGGAATGGCGTTATTATTCCGCATTACTCGTTGGCATAACCGTTATCACCGAAGAAGGCGATAACCTGTGACGGCTGCTCCACTGTTGAAGACCGCCGCAGGGGAGGAATTACGCCAAATACCGGAATCGTGCAGTGATCCGGGGGACCCGGCGTTGACGTACAGGACACGGCCAACAGCGTCTGCGATGAAGCAGACGTTGAGGCAAGATGTTCCTTTCCTGCATACGTACTGGTAACCGTCAACAGCCGGAGTCCTTATCCGGACCAGTGTGCCATCCACGGCTCCGATCACATCTAAAAGTGATAGTATTATATTAACGTCGCTCATGATGTACACTTGCACTACTTTCACTACTCACTGGACATCCTCCCGGTCCTTGCAAACTCATTGGATCGGAACGTGCACCACTGCTCGTCCTCGGGCTTGAACTTTATGAACTGTTGCACGATGTCGGGATGCGCCAAGGCATCCACAACACGAGCAATGATATTGGACACCACCGTCTTTTGGCAGCATCCGGCAGTGTCGGCCACTACAATCTGGAATGAATTAGTACATAGGTAGCGAATACATTCTCCGACTAATAGCCCAAGGCAGTCGGTCTTCGTCCCTCAGAAGGGGGCTCAGCAGCTCTGTTATCCAATCAAGCTGGTCGTCCGTAAACCGAAACCTCTGACGAATCAGAGATTGATTTATCGACAAGTTAATTCTCGGATCATGACGATAATAACGAGCGTTCCTCGTGCGTGGACGTATTCCGAGGAAAAAGTGCAGGGGCATTTCTAAACTATCGTCGCAGATTTAAAGGGCTCAACCAAAACTAGAAACATCGCGACAGCGAAAAGTTCTTTGTTCTTTCGGCAACACATTAATTAGCGGATGATGAATGCGAAAAATGATATAGTAGCAAACTTTAAAAAAGAATCATTGTCAATGGGTCCACGTTCCATGATCCTGTATGCAGAAATCAACCGAATATTGGAGTGCGCTCTTGTGCCGTACACTTTAGCTCACGACTATTTTGGGCCTGAACTGCTACAAGCTCTCACACGGTACAGCCACAATCTGCACTCATGTGTATAACTCTCAGGCAATGTCACGCGCTGGCAATAGCTCAGTGGCAACGCTTCACGCTGCCAGTGACAAGTCACAGGATCGATACCGCGTGAAACCCGTCAAAACCTGTGAGCTCCGGAACTTTTCTCTTCTTATCACAGCTTTCGATGACGTTGCTAAACGTTCCGTGGTGCACTGTCAATGATTCAGTCTCATAATTAACATCCACCGATGAGTTTCAGGTTTGCAGAGAGTGTTCTTCCATGCTGAGATTGGCAGCTGCATGGACCACTGCCATGTCTCTACGCCGCCGATGGCAAGGCAGGGGATCGATACCACACGACGTCCGATTTTTGCAAACAGCGTCAGTCGTCCCACTGTTATAGGCAACCCTCCATATGTGGCTGGTACTACTCCGTGGTGCAGTGGCAACGATAGCAATTCATACACGCACGGCGCTGGTACGGGTTCGTGGAGGAGGGATGTTTTGCTTGCGATGTCGCGAAGCTGCGTGTTTCAGAGCTAGTTAACTTCCAACTTCAACAACGTTCTTTGCCGGTTACCGGGCATGTGATGGCTTTCCTTAACAGCTAGTTTGGGGTAGATTACTACCGTCCCAGATGTTTGACTACTTATCGGCCTACATTGCAAAACTAACTATGAAAGGAACCGATGAAGTTAAAGTCGAATTAGCACAGGTGGAAAGTGGTATGAAATTGGTGGTATAAAAGTTGAACTATGATAAGAGAGTTTTTTCACAACAAAACATACTTAAGAGACTACTAGTTCATCGTTTTAGATGAGGGATGACGATACCTTGCCACTCCGAAGAAATCTCGCCGCTGAAGGGCCCCCAACTCCTTAAAAGATGCGTAGAGGCGGATTCCGGCTCCGTGTACAAGCTCACCGGCGGCGCGTACGCGGCGCGTGTCCGGTGCCGCCGCACTGGCCGCGCGGCGAAACGGCTGGCGAGAGCCTGCGCCGCCGCCATTGCGCTCCAATGACAATGAGTTGCTGGCAATTTGCCAACCCATGCCTGCCTCCAATCAATCAATGGCGACAAAGTCAGGAGAATGCAGCGCCCATTTTCACGGCTAGGCGTGCCTGTTTCGCCACTGTTTCACTTATTCCTACTGCTGAATATTTCGCCGGCCTACTTTACTGTATTCTGCATCCAACATTTCTGCAACTAAACTGTGATTCTGTTATTCATATTATTCATTCTTCTCTGCGAAGACGGTGGGTTCCTTATTATTTTCATTGTGGCAGTAACAAGCTTTGATATACATGTCTTTTTTCACCAATTATATTCTGCTACTTACTTTTCTATAACTCACTTCTTCATTATTACCTTCTGTGCTACCACCTTCCCGTTATTGTAAAGGTGCTGTGCTGTTACTTGACTCCGAAATATCTCCACGAAACAAAGCGTGAGGGTAGGTTTCCCATATGAACCTTCTTGACGATCTTGCTTATTTTTTGTGGTCTATGCCAGTGTGAGGTGGTTCTGCTCAGTAACAACCTGAGATTACTGAACATTCCACCCATCTGCTGGAGTGGCCAACTTGCTCTCACTATCACCCATTAGTTCCTTTCCTTTTACCATTTTCGATCTAATTAAATTTATTAACTTTTATCATGTCAAGTTTGAACATATCTCTATCCCTCGTACAATTCACACTTTATAACTAAGCTACCCATACCCCACACAAAATTGGTGCTATGTTGCCTTCGCGCAATGGCCGATATCAGACTCTGCCGATTGGAGCGAAGGGCATTGTGCACGCGGTCAAATGCCAATCGCGCGACGATCGCGCGATTGACATGAGTCCCATCATGACCAATCGCTCCAATCGCGCGATGGGCGCGATCACTCCCGTTGTGGCAGGGAGCGATCAATAGCTGGCGCGCCCCCTCGATCGATACGTTGCCTGCCACAACGGGAGTGATCGCGCCCATCGCGCGATTGGAGCGATTGGTCATGATGGGACTCATGTCAATCGCGCGATCGTCGCGCGAATCGCGCGATGGTCGCGCGATTGGCATTTGACCGATCGCTCCAATCGCAGAGTCTGACATCGGCCAATAGCTTGTTCATCCGAAATCCATGAGGCGTTTTTTACCCTTTGGATTAGGAGCTGGGAAATCGGAAGAAGCCAGAAGATTATGATATAACTTTGCAATATTGACCGGGATCCAAGGTTCAAAATTTCCCGCCTAAGGGGGTAGCTCAGTGCTCACAAGTCAGAGTACTTTAGTGAAGATTGTTTAGCCGCAACCAAGATATTATCAGATTTTATTCGGCTGACGTTTCGGCCTTATCGCCTTCTTCGGAGCCTGGAAAGTCAAAGATAAGTGCGATTTACCCCCCAAGCATCATTTTAGACTTCAAGAAAAGTCCCATAGACCCAATGTCTGTAGACAGGCATCATAAATCACGAAACACTTGGACCCACCTTAGAAAACGACCGGACTTAGTGTCGACCACCGCTAATCTGACTCGCAGGGGATGGCTTCAGATGACCTGGCCCCTCGGCCTGAAGCCGATGGCAAACGAAGCCCACAGAGGTCAGAAAAAGGCGCGAGTTCGTAGTTATTGGCCAGGCATTCGTCTTTCCTATTCATTTTTGGGGACCTGGCACTAATGAAGAATGCCTCCAGGGTCTTGCGTGCAGGTGTGTGTGGTTCCCGCAGCAAAATGCTGACTCCTACCCCGAACCCTAAGCCTCCATGGGATTGTATGCGGTGAGCTCCCAGGGGGGTCTCAGGTCTAGCTCGACTCAGACCATCTAGGTGTTCCTTGACCCTCGCGCACAGGGGTCGCCCTGTCTCTCCGATGTACTCATCCCCGCATAACTTGCATGAGATCAGGTAGATCACACCTGACGTCATGCAGTCACCCTCCCGCCCATTAGGGCAGACAACGCAATGGGGGGTGAGACAGGCACGATCATACCGGCGATTTTGAACCAGCTGTTGCTTGAGGTTTGCCGGAGGGATATCGACTAAACGTACCATGTCATCTAGACCACACCTGTGCAGGGCCATCCGCATAGCTGCGCTTATAGCATCGCTTATGAAGGGTATACAAAACGGCACTTTTTCCGAACCATCGATCGCAGGGCCGTGTTGTCTTCTAATGGGTGGTCCGGGAAGGGCTTGGTCTCTGGGAGGGTAGCCGTTTGAGAGTGCAATCTTCTTCGCAAGTTCCAAGGAGTCCGCTTTCTCCTGTCTTCCCGAGGAGGTCAACGTAGCCGTCCTGTACATGCTCTTTGTTATAGAGCGCTTCGTTCTGAGAGGATGCGCCGACCTGAAGTGCACCAAGATGTTTTTGTTACTGGGTTTCCGGTACCACCTGGTTCGGTAGAACCCCCTTTCGAGATGCACTTGTACATTGAGAAACGGGAGCCAATTTTCTTTGGGCTTTTCACGTGTAAACTGGATGTTTTCTGCCTTGTCTATTGAGCAGGTCGTAACACGTGTCCATTTCCTTCTGCGTTGAACAGACGACAAAGCAGTCGTCTATGTATCGGCAATATACGACAGGCCGGCGATCCAGTAACGGCTTTTCTATCTTCGACATGTAGGCTATGGCCAGGACCGGTGCCAAACGCTGCCCCATGGCCAGTCCCCTGGTCTGCCTGTAGTAACGACCGGACCACCTGAAAATAGAGAGCACCTTCTCGACACTTTTTTTACAAACTGTAACAGTTGTACTAGGACAAGGTTCAAAAGCCAAGAAATCCTGTCGGTGGGGCCCCCTACACTGCTTATTATTGGCCGCACCGGAAACTCCGCAGGATTGTTTGATGACATGGTGGCCTGGGAGAGCTTGTGTGTCTTGATGAGGGTATAGAGAACCGGACAGGTAGGGAGGTCACACTTCAGGCGTGTGCCTACATTTTTGGGCAGCTGCGATGACCGCACTGTGTCCATCCACACCCTGTTCAGCCTCCTGTGTTGTTTATTGAATTCTTCCATGGAAGACGGCCTGTAAAGGGTCTTGTCTTGCAAATGTAGCTATGTAAATAGCACGGTCCAATTCTTGAGGGAGTACCACAAACTCGCCTCCCTTATCACTCACAGATATTTTGAGATGATTTCCTCCTGTGAGGTCTTTGAGCTCCTTGAGTCCCCGTTTTTGTGCAGTGGTGAGGTTTGAGTCGAGCCGCCTTTTACTGCAGCGATTTAGTATGGCAAAGATTGATGTAGCAAAAAGGCGGAACTTGACGTCCACAGTAACATTTGGGTCTTGTGGTTTGAAGAACAAGGACGGGAAAGGGATAACCGGGAGGTCTGACCCTGCTGTACTTTGCTGACCGCATTCCCGTAACTTAGCCTTGAGGCGCAGGCTGTCCTGGAGGGTTTGCAGGGATCCCAGAAATTTACGCGACACCCTATGAGTTATTGATTGGCTAGGGGCAAAACTGGGGCCAAGGTCCAGAACAGACAGCGCACTATCGGAAAGACTTATGCCGCCAATAACAGTGACTCTAGTAGAAGGGACCTCCGCCTCACTGCTGTCAAACTGGAGGTGGTCTGTATTTGTAGTAGGGGTGGTACCTTGTGATTGTGAAGAATGATGCCCATCTAAATCCATTAGTCTATTAAACTTATTCTGAAGTCTTACTTTGATGGTTGAACGGATGGAATCGCAAATGATCTTTGACTCACCCACGATCCTGTCCCATTGGCAACTCGGCAGAAATCGTTGACAATACAATTCTTTCGACAAACATTTTTTCAACATAGAGAAAACATGATGTCTTTTTGCTTCTCAGAGCGGTTCTCAATATGCGAAGTTCGATGTCTTCTAACTGCCTGCTGCCAGCTGGGAGGCCGCATACCTCGTGCAGTCGCTTGTTCTTGATGAAATTCGGTACGATGCGGATGACGGAGGCAGCGCCGTAGGAAGTGGGTGGTCTGTTTTGCCACGACGATCTTCTGTCGTAGCGAAAGAGCTTCCTTGACGAGTCGAAAGTAGTAGGCTGGTACGTGCTTCAGTAGTGTCCAGGTTCGACTCTCGGTGAATCTTGGCATAGCGAGAGTACTTTAGTGAAGATTGTTTAGCCGCAACCAAGATATTATCAGATTTTTATTCGGCTGACGTTTCGGCCTTATCGCCTTCTTCGGAGCCTGGAAAGTCAAAGATAAGTGCGATTTACCCCCCAAGCATCATTTTAGACTTCAAGAAAAGTCCCATAGACCCAATGTCTGTAGACAGGCACCATAAATCACGAAACACTTGGACCTACACCTTAGAAAACGACCGGACTTAGTGTCGACCACCGCTAATCTGACTCGCAGGGGATGGCTTCAGATGACCTGGCGTCCTGCGGTCCTGAAGCCGATGCAAGACGAATTGTCTGCCTAATGGGCGGAGAGGTGACTGCTGCATGACGTCAGGTTGTGATCTTACCTGATCTCATGCAGAAGATAAAATGCTTATGGCGGGGATGAGTACATCGGTAGAGACAGGGCGACCCCGTGTGCGCGAGGTCAAAAGCGAACGCCTAGGATGACGTCTGATCGAGCTAAGGACCTGAGAACTGACCCTGGAGCTCCCGCATACAATCCCGATGGAGGCTTTAGGGTTCGGGGTAGGAGTCAGTCAGCATTTTGCTGCGGGAACCACACACACCTGCACGCAAGACCCTGGAGGCATTCTTCATTATAGTGCCAGGTCCCCAAAAATGAATAGGAAAGACGAATGCCTGGCAATAACTAGCGAACTCGCGCCTTTTTCTGACCTCTGTGGGCTTCGTTTGCCATCGGCTTCAGGCCGAGGGGCCAGGTCATCTGAAGCCATCCCCTGCGAGTCAGATTAGCGGTGGTCGACACTAAGTCCGGTCGTTTTCTAAGGTGGGTCCAAGTGTTTCGTGATTTATGATGCCTTCTACAGACATTGGGTCTATGGGACTTTTCTTGAAGTTTGAAATGATGTTGGGGGGTAAATCGCACTTATCTTTGACTTTCCAGGCTCCGACGAAGGCGATAAGGCCGAAACGTTAGCCGAATAAAATCTGATAATATCTTGGTTGCGGCTAAACAATCTTCACTAAAGTACTCTCGCTATGCCAAGATTCACCGAGAGTCGAACCTGGACGCTCACAAGTCATTTTGAAAGCTAGCTCGTTTCTGTGACACTTTAAGGTTGTGAAAATAACCATGTTGCCATCTTTTACTCTCGTGATCCAAACAGCCCTCTTCAGGGCTCATTGCCTCTTTCAGGGAGGAGTTGGGCGCTGCACTCCCATACCCCATTAAGCGTAAACAATTCCAGCAATAATTCCTCACACAATGTTATTCAAAATTCTGCGCAAAATCCAATCTCATATCCGCGTTTTCCAGTAACGTTAGCTGCGCCCCAGCCTTCCACTTCCCGGGGTGTGCGCCCTGCTCCTCCCCGTGCGGCAGTGCCTCGTTTTTTGCAGAATAGCGTCGTCCAGCAACTTCTAAGATCGTCATCGTCGTCCACTGATGTGCAACCACCGCCTGCAACGTCCTCCAGATTCCTTGGACAAAGAGAGGTAAGTAACATGGGTAGACACGAAATATTAAGGTACCAAATTCCAGGGTCAACTCAATGCTTTATTTACATCTTCCACAAGAGGTGCAAGTTCTACGATGTTTATGTGTGCAGAGGGTGCAAGAAAGGAGGTCTACATAATCAGATCGAGGTTTGTATGTATATAAATGTATGTGTATGAATATGAACATAAGTATATTATTGAAAACGTTTAATATATTCATTCATGGTTGCGTTTGGTGGCAAAAACAGATGAACTTTAGGTGAATGGGGATGAGTTCCAATCTGACCCCTGCATGCATCATCACACATGCATCAGTGTAAATGTTCTTCAAGATAAGGTGGAACGAAGAACACATCAGGTTAACTAAGTTTTTTTTAACAAACCCTGAAAGATTCTGTTTCGAGTTTATGGAGGGATTGTTCTAGAAGTGCCTTGAAATCCGCAGAGACCCTCGGTACATGAAGTGCACAACGACAGAGATCTTAGAAGATATGCTTGAGGAATATCAGAATGACACAAACATTGAAAGGCTGGAGGAGCGCGAAGAAATGATGCTCCGCTTCCATCGCGGGAACTTGAATTCGAGAAGAAGCGCGATTACAAAGTAGTTTGCATGATATCGTATCAATTGGTATGATCTGTGAAGAAGTTTTACAGGAGTAAGGCGTTCCACAAAGTCAGGGGCATGACTTGGGACAACATCCCTGAATCGTTCTCCCGACTTCATGATGGAACTCGCTTTCTGCAACTAAAAACTGCACAGGTGCAAATATACTGCTCCCGAAGAACGATCGAGGTAGACCTTGAGCTCTTTCGAATGTCTCACGTTGTCAAAATTTTAAATTTCAGAAAGCATATAGAAATGGTCTCCATGCTCTTGTCGCAGATGGTGTACATCAAATACTGCCAGAGCAACTAGGGGATCACAGCCAGTTGTATACAATTCACGGAGTGTGCAACAACGGTGTAGAGGTTATTGCACATTTTCTGTATGCAAATCCATATTAAGAATCTAAAATGTTTTGCAGGTTCCCCTTTTTCATGCTCTGACAAGGAACAAAACGGAAACAACGTATAGAATGATTTTTGGATATATTGAAGGAGAATTTGTTGCACTTGGTGGCGTTCCCAGTTTGCGATTAATCGTTGACTTTGAAACTGCAGCTATAAATGCAGCAAAAGCGACGATTCCAAGCATGACCGTTGAGGGCTGTGGATTCCATTTAGCCCAAGCTTGGAATAGAAAACGAGACTCGCTCGGCCTCAGGCGCTATTTGAAAGGCCCACACAAAAGTAGAGCAGTTCTGAAGTGGTGGAGAACCATAAAGGGGCTTCCATTTTTACCGAAGCACTTACATCGACGTGTGCCGGGACTGTACCGTCCATCAATACCGTTAAGGCACGAAGCTTACCAGAAATGTGAAGAATTTTTGTCATATTTGCATTCGACTTGGATGAGAAGACAGTACGCAGATTTGTGGTGCAAATGGGGAATCACCGAGCTTCGCACAACCAATCTAGCCGAAGCTTACCACAGGTAACAACATAGGTTGACATTGTAATTATAATAAAGAAAGTTTATTCAGCAAACTGCGCCGAATTCTGAAGAAGAAGAATGTGGACTTAGAAGTGATCCTTAGACGGGTGAGAGCAGCGAATACAAGGGCCTTTGCAGACCTCTGTGCCCTTGAGCAAGTGCGTCTTCTTGTAAATTACAAGTTTCTATTGTTGCGACAAACAAAAATTTTTTGCAGGTGCCTGATAGGGAGAGAAACTTAAGGACAAGGGACTTGGAGCGAAGAAGGAAAGTTGCGAGGGAAATGAGACGTTTCGCAAGAGAATTGAACGGCGCCTACATATTGACGTCTACAATAATCAAGTATTGTCGACGCATGTCAAGATATATTTCGGAGAAGACAATTTGAATAAATCTAATCTGTTGTTTCAACAACTGATTACAATCCAAACACAAAAAATCTTAGGTCGCGCCAGCTATGGGGTGTGATGACCAGAAATTGTGAAAAATTTCTGGACAATACAACCTAGCACTGGCACAGACCACAAGAAAAGAAGAAAACGCAAAGCTAACAAAGACTATGCAGTGACAGAATCAATGACTGCCTACCATAAGGTAAAAATTGAATGCGTGGACGAGAATTGTAAGATAAACTTGTTCTAGTCACAATGAATATCATGTAACTTACCATATCTAGCAGAAGAATAACAGAATACTCCGTTGAGTAGCAGAAATATTGGACTAGAATACAAAAAGTAGGCCAATGGGCCATTCTGCAGAAATGGGTCAAGCAGTGGCGAAACAGGCACGTCTAGCCGTGAAAATGGGCGCTGGCATTCTCCTGACTTTGTCGCCATTGATTGATTGGAGGCAGGCATGGGTTGGCAAATTGCCAGCAACTCATTGTCATTGGAGCGCAATGGCGGCGGCGCAGGCTCTCGCCAGCCGTTTCGCCGCGCGGCCAGTGCGGCGGCACCGGACACGCGCCGCGTACGCGCCGCCGGTGAGCGTTTCTCTCCCCCCGCGGATTCCAATGTCAAATCGAAATGATGTTGAAGGTGGCCATTATTCTATCATCTATTTATCGCGTGACCAAAATAAAGGGTATCTCAGAGGACGGAGCTCCGAGAAGGAAAATAAGCATCCCTCCTTTGATAGCTGAAGATAGCTGAAGGACATCGAACAGGATCTCTGAGCTGTATGCGACAGTAGAGAACTTTAAAAAAAACTTAGGTGATTTTCAGGATGCCTCCATAGACTAGGTGAGGTGTGACGAATGCCATACCTGGGCACACCTGGAATGCATTCATACAAGAGAATGTGTATGCTGTGGCGCAAGGGTGTTTGAAGTGGATCAAGGGAAGACCCAGATGTGAGTTGAAACCGTGACTCTAACATTCAAAAGCAGTTCTTCGCGAGAAAGCATCAATTGTTTTTAGGCTCAATCGCAAGAAGACCAAGAAAATAGAAATGCATTTTTTGAGTCGGTCGGGTGTAAGCAAGCTTACAACGAAGTATGCATTTCTCCCATATCATTTATCTTTTTTACTACATCCGAGTTCATGACGTTTCCATTTAGATTTACACTAACTTCAGAAACAATTCAGTTCACTCAATGATGAAAGTCGAGACGTGAAAATTACTTCCTGATGCCAGGTATGCTATGGAAAAGAGAAGCTCAAACCCCACTGAAACGAAAATGAAGAAACTGCTCACCTTGATGCCATGAAGTTTCACCCCTTCTCTTTCTCGGATCTCTTTTGAGCTATGATCTTTATCAGAATGTTTACTGCGTTCTCATAGACTCAATCTCACAAAGCATTACTAGCTGAAGTGTATTCTGTTCATATGGGAGTTTCAAAACAGCACACATGTATTCAATTTATGATGTATGGTTTGTGCTATTATGCATGTATTGTAAAAGAATTCTCCCAACTGCGAGTTGCACGTATGGTTTTACATCGTTATTAATAAAATGTGATTTTACATTTTCTCGAACCACTGTAATGCATTCAAACACTTCTAATAGTTCAGAAATGTTCTGCGCCAAAGTCTCATGTTGATCTAAATGTGCAATAAACAATGAGAGACTCCAAGTATTTATTGCAAAAGACCATATTTGTTCCCATAGTCTTTTGCAATAAATATTTGGAGTCTCACATTGTTTATTACACTTCTAATAATGTTTAGGCTCAGGAATAATTCGAGAACCTTGAATTCTTAAACATCGTTTTACTGAGCGAAACAACCATCCACGTAGTCTTCCCTAGCTTTTCCCTGGCTTTAAATTTAGCAACTTTCCCTTCGAATTCATGTCGCTTATCTCCGGCAGGCCTCCATCTCCTGTATGCTCATATGCATTCGACCGGCACTTTTGTGCTCCAGTTTGCAGTTTTCAAGGTGGCACTCACGGAGCTGGCGTAGAAAAGAACCTGAAGTTGATTTTGCGCCCATACCCTCTTAAAAGTACATCGGCAGCATACACTTCATATTCACACTGTGGACAAAACCACAGCTGCGGAAAACACGGTCTCGCAGCTTGGGCAGCTTGATTCTGAGACCCTAGCGCCTTTGTGGGGGTCCTCACACGGGAATGCCACAACCGTGAATGTCCGCTAGGGGTCTATCTTACACAGCAATGTGGATCGCTCATGCGAATTCTGCCTAGGATCTAGCTTTAAAAGCATTGGAGATTTTTCGGGGATCCTCCTGCACCGCCCTCTTCCATTAGGCCCACCCGCCTCGGTCTTTGGCATGTTGACCGGGGCACTGGCCCTTCGTCTCTTCCTTTCGAACCCATAGCCCTCTTTCTCGTAGGAACCGGGGGCCTCTCTCTCCCCGCGCCGAATATGCTTCGTGTTCATGGTAAGAGGTCCCATGACTACTATTATCTATGGTAAGCATCGCTGCCGGGCCATGCATTATCTGCCCGTCATTGTGTAAGTCACTTGGCATCAATATTAAACAAACAAAAGTGAACAAAATAACAAACAAAACCCAGTATTATCATGCGTCTGGCGCATGCGAATGAACAGGCCACCAGGACCCCGGCGTGTGCTAACCTTCCGGCGACAATTTGAATGGCGGCCCTATGGCCACCACATTGTATGAGGTCAAGAACCCTTCGCCACAAACGTGCTGAGAGAACGCCCAAACCCTTCTCAGCGTGATTTTTTACTGAGCGAAGCAAGTCGTTAGTCGCCGAATTGGCAAAAATGCAGACCAAAAGGCAAATTGTGCTAAAAGAGTGAATCCGTGAATGGATTCTCGTGTGATCGGAAAGGTGGAAATGTCAATACTCCGGTGTTGCTGGGCCGCCCACCTATGCTCTACGGCCTAGCATCCGGGTCGTACAAGCCGTTCTCGATGGGCAAAGCAGCACAGAGTGTGCGTGTGCTGACGGATTAACCTTTGCATACGAACCTACCCCCCCTGGGCGCACTCCCTCCTCACCCTGACACTAACCTTGGGGACCCCCGCGTCCAGTTGCTGAAATGACTCACGGGCTGGCTCCTCGCGCTCGACCGGGACGCTGAAACCCTGAAGAGACTCTTCAGGTGAACACGTTCCCGCGAAGACTCGAATCAGTCGCCACCCACTTGACAAGCATCATCAATCGCCAAACATGGCCCAGTTTTCGTACACTCGATCTTCAAATAATGTAACTTAAAGGTGCGATATTCTCATATAAAAGATGAAGAAATAGCCACACTGCACTCAAATCGACAATGTATCGCACGCTCTGATAGCAAAACCGATGGTTTGATTGGTCCCACCAAAACACCAAAATTGATTCCTATAGATCTAAATCCTTTCCCAAGCCCGTAATCATTGCTGTAAGCAGTTTCCTTTGTAAGCGCTTAGTTGCAAAGTAATTGACGGAGGAGTATTGGCTAGGTCATACGAAAACCAACAAAGCTGTCAGGCCAATCGAAAACATCGGCAAGCTGGCAATGAGCGGGCGCAAACTGCAGCATCATGGCTTTTGTGAGAGGACTCCTTCCCTGGGGAAGCTGAAAAGAATCTTTCTCTACTAAAAGAAAAAAAAAAAAGTGCGCGCTTGCGATAAAGTTGATATAGCGCGAGAAATGAGGAGATGTGGACCATAGGCCACCCAGGGCCGGAGAGAACGCGAGCTGCCAGAAAACACTCTCATCAGAGGCTCAAGCATACACTTGTTCCTGATTTAGCATAGCTTCTAGTCGCATATTCCTCGTCATCGTGTGCAAACCATACAAGACAAATTCTTAAAGCTCACATAGAGGGCACCAAACGATCTGCCTTTTCTGCTACGGATCAGCCGATTTAACCCTAGTTCCATCCCACCTGCACCCTGAATATCTGTCCTTTTCACTAACTGCTGTTATTATTAACCCCCAGGAATCGAGTAATCATCTGAACAACCTCTAGCAAGCAGCAGCACTTTTTACAGTGGTTTATGATGTACACGTTATGGCCGTGCTCTGCGGTAAAACTGCTTAGTCGCAGAAAATAAATGTAAAATTCGAAGTTGAATGGTTGTACTTCGGGTGAGAAGTTATCTCGCGAACAACACACCAAGATCTTCCTACTCTCTTCTGTTGATCTCAACACACCCGCGTTGAAAAAAGGACGCTTTATAATTCTGCATGACATTCCACGGAATCGGCGCCTTCGTCAAGTCGCCCTCAAAATGGACCTAGCCATAGTGTCGAAAACAACCGACCAAAGCCCCTACCCTTAAGAAGGTCACAAGTCAATCAAATACACCACATCAGGCGCAGGCGCAAAGGTGTACCCGTCGTACCCACCGTCGGCCCCGGGCCGAGCGGCCGTAATTAAAGCAAAGTCTCGGGCTCAATCATGGGGCCCATTAACTGCGGTGCATGTGAAACCTGATACTAGCAGATGCGAATGGACTATACATGAGAAAAACACTGAGAAACCACCGTTCGACAATAGTCGTTCACTGCCGCAATCCTCCCTTCCCATATATGCAGGATTGTGCTTGGGAAAAGAGCACTTACAACAAATTTTCTGGCGCACTGCCGCAGTCGTTCTATCCTCGTTAATTAGCGCAATCCAATCCCTATCCCGCCGCGTATGCCAGCCACGCACCACTTCCGGAGGTGGGCGGTCCTGGATTGACCAGGCGGCCCTGGATTGAAACCGAACGCCCCCGGGGCCTTAACGGGGTTTTCAAGGCGGGAAGTTGCTGCAATGTGTGCAGCTACCCACATACAACCTCCAGGCACGGGAACTACTTCTCTAGGGTCCTCGCTCGTATTTTCCTCTGTAGCTTCTTTGCGCTCTTAAACCAACTTGTAATTGTTACTAACTCGCAATTGGCTCCTTCTGAGCGCGATAACCTCACGAAGAGTTTTATCGTAAGACGGCACAGCCATGAAAATCTCGCCACATTCAACAGAA